ATATGAAATGAGCACAAGCTATAGCTGCTATTAAGAAATGTAGAGAAAGCAAGAAAGGACCAAGACAAGATATACCAAAGGGGGACAGAAAGTAAATGCCCTTTCAAATTTAGAAATCTTTATCGTTTCTAACGCTTTCTCACATTGCAATCAAGGCACATTAACCTACAATTACTCTTAACATGTGGTAGTTTATTATCAATTCTATCAACTGTAATGTTAGAATTAATGTTATTATCCGGATTAATCATAGCTTCAAATAATGTATTACATAGAAGACATGACGTGCACTTTTCGAGTTGTAACTGAATCCAATCAATATCTATGTAATCCTTATCATTTTTTCTACCCGCTGCCCTATCTTGTGATCTGTAATCCTCTATCTTATTCTTAAAGTAAAGTTTTACCCAAGATTCGTTTAAAGACATAATTTCTTCCGGTGAATGTTCATATATCTGAACATTTTTTAAATTTGTGCCTCGTGTTAATGCAGTCCAAATAAAGTAGCGATCCACATAGGGCGTATTGCAATCAAATATGGTAATTTTGTCCTTTATTGTGAGACGTTGTACTGAATCGCATGTATTAGCATACGGAAGTTTGAAATATTTCAATTTATCAACGTCCAGTCGAATATCTTTGTTCTCAACTGGCTCGTTCACGACAAAATACTTATCTCCAATCGATTTTAAAACATAATGATAGTTAACATACAGCCGATCATTTTTATTCTTATAGTGCTTTTTACAAACAAGTTCTAAACCGCTATAAAATCCAGCTCTTTCGACTACATTCTTAGCGACGTGTTTATTAACCTGGTCACACCTAAAATTAAACAAACAAATATTTTTTATCGTTGTTACTTCTTTCATGGTCTTAACAACTTTGATTCCATGGCGTTTAAAAGTAGAAATAACGTCCTTATTAAGATCAAAAATATCCCTCTTAAGCACAATTAGCTTTCTCTTATCAGAGCTCTTATTCAAACGTTTATTTTCGCTTAACGTCAGTTGATGTGGGAACATTTGATTTAAGCACCACAACTGATAATTATTTTGATCTTTGATATTGTTTGTACCGAAAGTAAATGGCTTTCTTTGATCAACATCACCAGTACATAAATATCTTTTTTCAGCATTCTTTTTCATGAACATTTTAATTAAATACAGTTGATAGGGATTATATAATAAAATCTCATCAAAAACGATACAATCATATGGCTCAATGTTAAAGTTTTTCATTTTTATGTGTTTATCATCGATTCCAATTCCAAGTAACATATTTAGAGTTACCGCATCGTGACTACTTTTTCGTAACTCCTGGCACAGTTTATTATAAGGACTAACAAAAAGAGTTTTTATATACGGATTCATTTTGGCACAAGTTGTTTTACCAACACCAGGTAATGATCCTTTAATAAATGTGTTATATTTTTTAAACACATTATTAATCTCATCCGTGTCTCTTTCATCTTTAATCTCATGCTCTGTGATAGTTATTTGTGCAATTTGCGGTAATTCATTTTCGATCCATTGTAATTTCTTATCTATTAAATAATTACATGTCTCGAGTTTAAAACAGCCAATTTTATTGCTGAAATCAAAGAGCTTTTTCACTTTGGATTTATTATCCCTACTATTGTCAATTAGCAGACTATCAGTCTTAATGCCACGAACTTCAATATTAGCACGAATTAATTTTTTATACGTCATATAATTTTTAATAGATCTGATATCATATACAAGTTCTTTAATTGGTAAAAATCCATTAATTAAAGTTCTTTCTTCAGATATACATAGCAAATACAATTTATTCTTCTCTTCTTCTTCTAACTCTTCCAATTCTGTATTTATGCTGTTTCCCGTAATCGTATAAATCTGGCCATTATCTAACGAGTTTTGATAATAGAATGCCTCATCGTAATTTTTAAAGACCTTTGTAATTGTTTTTACATTTCTCTTCTTTTCTATTAGCCCTAAATTTTTGTTAACGATGAATTTCTTACAATCAAGAGGCAGGTCAGATTCATAGACAGCCTTCACAAGGTGCTCGCTATTACTTTTGACTAAATTCGAAGGTCTTCTATAGTAAAGAATTTCTACATCATTAAATCTTATTTTATTTAACTTTATCCCGTAACATCTAGAAAATTTTGCATTAAACAGAATAGGATGGCAACGTTTAGTTTCAACGATATACTGTGTATAGTCTTCAACTGCATGTCCATCGTAACTCTGCCACACATCGAAATGGTTAAAGACAGGATAAAATTCAATGTTCATAAAATCACTAGTATAAGCCTTTCTACTATCTATTCCTAACAGCTCATTATATACCATGCAATTATCAAAATAACCGCCCATTGGTGATATTTTCAACACATTTTCAAGGTCCATAATAGTCTGATTATAGCACGACAAATGATTTTTTTGTAATAAACCTTTGTAAAATTCATCATCCACTTTATGAAATGTTTCGTAACTTTTTTCGTCAATTTCCATATCAACATCATTTTGTTTAATATCAGGAGCCGTTATTACTGCTATTATTTTGTTATATTTTAATTTTAGTGTCATTATTTTACCATAATTGAAATTAATCTCAGGTGTATAATTCATTTTCTCAATAATCTCAAACAAGAAAGTATCTAGTGTATCTTCGTTATATACAAATGTTACAAGTTTTATTTCATCATTATCTTTATCATCTAGATATCTTATCATCTGTTCACAGTCATCAATAAATAGTGCTCTATTTGTGTGGATATTCGTATCTCTGATATAGTATTCATTTGAAACCTTCAAAGATTTTAATTCAGATGAGACATCATCATTTGGTCGCCAAACAACCTGTTCGAATTTTTTGATATTATTATTGATTTCATAGCAATGTTTGTTGTGAATATAGATGTACAAATTTCTCGGATTTATTTTTTTATTTGGATGTTCTGGACTGTACTTTAATAGTCGTCCAAATGGCCCATACACACATAATCCGATCCTAAATTTCTTAAAGAATGCAAGTGATTTATTTACAGACAAGCCTATATTATCTTCTTGATAATTGATACCACAAATCTCACATAGGCTTTCATGAGTCAGATTAAATCTATAATACTTTGTTCCATCTTTCCTAACTTTACCAAATGCAGCCTCAAATTTGCTAACAATCAAATTCACAAAACAGCTATTAGCTCGTGTATCTGATAGAACTTCTTGATTTAGATCAAAGTTAAGATATTTATCATAAACACCCATTTCTGTATTTGTAAGATGTAATTCCTCCTCTAATACGTCAACATTTTCACCCAGATTAGGACATTTCGAAGCAGATTTTATTATAATACAATCGGTATAATGACCACATTTATCCCATAATTCTTCAAAATCTATTGAAGATATCAATTGATCAATAAGTTCAGTGAACTGTTCGTTATATTTACCATCCTCTTTCCTGTAAATTCGTTTGTTAAGATAGAGATCGATACATTTTTTCATTGATATGTTAAGAATACGTTTCGCAATCAAAATATAACGATATCCATCCTTACTTGTGAAGGCAATTTTTTTCATCTTACTAGATTCATCTACTCGTCTAAATAACAAAACGGTCATAGAATATATTTCTGGCTCCTTCATTTTTATTTCTTGTTGCATTTCTTTTCTCATCCGTCTATGAACCAGACCATCAATTTTAATAAATCTGCCTGTCTTAGGATTAATCTCATAACCTTCTTTTGATTTATTATGGATCTTCCTATACGTTGAACCATTGATTTTAATTTGCCTACCTGTCTTAGGATTAATCACATAACCTTCTTTTGATTTATTATGGATCTTTCTATATGTTGGACCATTGATTTTAATTTGTCTACCAGTCGTAGGATTAATCTCATAACCTTCTTTTAATTTAATAGGTTTAGTACGTTTAGTGGATTTGGTGTTATGTGATCTACTCGATACAATGTTTGTTAACTCTTTTTTCGATAATTTTTTCAATTCCTTCTTTTGCATTTCTATATATTATATATATAAAAATTTCTTTAAGCATTTCTTTAAGCAATTTCTTTGTAAATTTACTGAAAAACATTGTGTATCATTATGTATTTCAATGTATCATAGCTAATGCTTAAAGAATATTTTATGAACACTATATATATAAAAATGAAACATTGTACAAAGTCAGTAAAAAACCGGGATTATTCATTTGTTTCAAAAAATCACGAGAATGTGAAGAAGATAAAAGCAACTTGTATTGATACAGATGAGGTATCATATTATCATTCCATATATAACTGTCAAAAAAAGTTAGGTATTAATTGTGGCATTATTAAAATGTCTTGTGATAAGACTAACCGCTGTAAATCTGGTAAATCTAAAGTTGATGGTAAGAAATACAAATTCGATTATGTTGATGAAATACCAGATAGTTGTTTCAAAGAGAGCCAAAAAAAAAGAAGCAGAAAATTTACATCCGAAAATTAATAACGATTTATCTAATCATGATTCTGATATCCCAGACGATAGTAATTCGAATGACGATATTGATTCATCTGATGACGACAGATACGTCGACATCGTATGTAAATCATTATATGTAATGGATTTTCCATTATCTGACTTTTTAAAAGTCAGATCTTAATTCTTTTAAATAGTCGTCGAGGAAAGATAGAAAAAAATTTACTCTTGATGATTTCTGCTTGAAATGTGGTGAAATATTTGATTATGGATGTGAATGTCCTCGTTTTGATGTTAAGAATACACCATGGACTTGTGAAAATGTGATACTATTATAGAACAAACTGGGACTGAATATTTATGTATCAAATGTGGATGTCATTACGGTTACATCTTTGTACCTGAATATAACCATACGTATGTAAAGAAAAAACGTAGTATTTATCATCGAAAATATCATATAATGAATAAGCTAAATCAACTTCAATTAAAAGATTTTCAGCTAGGAGAGTTTCTAAGATACTTCGAAGAAGCTAATATATCGCTATCGGAAATATTAAAAGGGATGAATAGAAAGAGATATATTAATACAATGTATATCTTTCATAAACTACTTATTATATTGCATAGGGCTGACATAGCTTCACAATGTAAACTTCCAAAGTCTAAGGCGACACTAAACCATTATGAAAATATATGGAAAGCAGTATGTGAGGTGAATAGATGGGAATTTCTACCATCGACATAAACATATATGTTATGCCATACAATTTTCAATCATTTCATAGATGATTAATCAATAGAAAGATTCTATTAATTAATAATATGATATTTATCATAGCGTTTGTTATAGTAATCATCTATAGGAGGACATAAATCTGTTATTTCCTTATCTATCCAATTAAGATGATGAATTACCTGATCAGAATCATATTGATCTCCCCTTAAATAACTTCGTAAATCAATCAAAACTTTTTGATAGCTTGTATAAGCAAATTTACATAGCTCTATTCTTTTTTTATAATTTTTCTTTTTATTATACCCATGTAAGACGATACCTACCAGTGATATAGTTGGTAAGGGAATAAAATTTATTGTTGCTGCTGATACAGCTCCACCTAATGCTGTTAAGAAAATAGCAGAGACACTCAAAAATAAGTCCTTATGTTTAAGGTATTTATATGCACGTTTATAACACCATGTTTTCTTATGATAGTAAGCATACAATTTTTTCAAGAAATCTATTTCTTCAGATGATAATTGATCAGATATACTATTGAAGTTAAATATGTTATCCACTTTGTTTTCCATTATGCGTCTATAATATTAATCCACATAATTAAATTTGAAAAATGTTCTCAAATATATTTGCATTTTATTCATTTCCTCATCAGTCAAAGCTCTGTTATAGAATAACAGACCATAGAAATCCATACTACAATGTTCTGAGACATGATAACCATTCCCTAGGGTAAATATTCCTGTATCAAACAGATCAGATGAAATATGTTTTTCATCTTCAGAATATAGATGATTTTGATTTAACCATAACGATGCTCTTTTACCAGTGCATCTATAGCTCCAAAGAACTATTTTATTAATCATCTCATCTGTTAATGTACTATCTTTATATTGCATTCTGTAATTATTAACTGACCCATGATCTATATATGTAGTACCATCAGACCATGGCAAATGAACTCCTAATCTCTTGTTGATATTATAACCACCGTTTCGATTCTTAACGCTCCAGCTAAATTGAGTTTGATTTTTTAATCCCTTAGTAGCAACAACTAAGAAGAACGTAGTAGCCCCATGATGATTCATAGTTTCATATTTTAATTCACCTGCCATGGAATTATTTTTTCCGTCAAATGCGATATAAGGTATATGTTCTTGATCAATTAAGTAAGAAGGTTGTTTTAATTTAACATTTTGAACTAATTTAATTTGATTGATAGGATCTAGTAAACTCATACATTTATCTTTTTTGTAAACTTCGCATAAGTTAATATTAGGTAAAAAAAATAACGACAAATCTTCAACTGGTATTCCAGAAAAATATTTATTCATCATAAAAGACCTTTTATCAAGATAATAAGTTTCTAGATATCTTTTATTTATTGCAATTGCACCGTCATCATTCGGATCTATGTCATGTAAATTTTTGATACAGTTCTTATTCATATCCAAATTTCCATATAATACATCCCCTGATTTAGAAACTTTTGTATCAATTCTACTGTCAACGTATTGTTTATTTGTCGCATCTGAGTCATCCACTACATTTGATGATAAATTCGTCAATCTTTTGCTTTCTAAATCGTAATCACCATCATCATTAATTTTATATCCATTACCTTTGAGTCCACGAACTTTTATAACCTCATTATGCTGATTATGTAAAGTACCAAAGATTGTATAACTCATTTATAATATACATATATATTATATAAAATATGGATATAATCAATTTTGACGACAAAAAAGGAGTTGGAGTAATATATAAACATCACTTTCTATTACCTGATTGTCACTATTTGATAGTTGGAAGTACTGGTCAAGGTAAAACAAATTTATTACTGAATATGTTGATGCAATGGTTAAACTATGATGATTGTGTTGTATACACTATTAATCCAGATCAGGAAAAGTATGAATTATTGCAGTCATTCTATGATATGTTAAATAGTGAATTAGATGATGAACATTATACATTGAGCATTGAGAATCCTGAAGAGGTAATACCAGTAGAGGAGCTAGATTCAGAGATGCAGAAAGTAATTGTTTTCGATGATATAAAAATTGATTCTAAAAACATGAACAAAATTAAGGAATATTTTAGTTTAAGTAGAAACAAAAATTGTAATTGTATCTACTTGACCCAAAGTTACTATGATGTTCCTAAATATATTAGAAGAAATACTAAATGCTTTATTCTGTTTGGTGGATTAGATAATAGAGATATTAGAAATATTACAGAAGATCATGCCAAAGGTATTAGTAAAAGTGAGTTTAAAAATATCTACATAGAAGCAACAGAACAACCATACACATTTATGGTTATTGATAAAAACACAAAGTATATTCCAGAAATTTATCGTAAGGGATTCGATGGTTTCTATGTACCATAATATATATCTTATAAGATAAATGCTAGAGTGTAAAATGAATACGATATATTTTTTACATTATCTTACGAAATTTTTACTGTAACTTACTGCAAAATTACAATCTTATATATAGTTTGAATAAAATATTTAGTATATTTTTACATTATATGTAATTTTATCTAACTTTAATATATATACTATATACATATGCCTTTTGACACGATAGAGACAGTGGAAGATAGAAAGAGAGTAATTAATACTTTTCTTAAGAATAGATCAATATTAAAACAGCAACAACTAAACCAAAAATTAAACGAGCAATCATTCCAAGAATCTACTACAAAATTACAAAAACCTGTTGTAAAGAAAATTGAAGAAGTTCAAAAAAAAGAAGATAATCGACAGGATAAACTTCTTGAGCAGTTACAAAAAAATCAAGAAGCATTATCTAGTAATATTGAATCACTTAGTAGTACCATATCACAACGACAGTCTGAAGACAGTTCAGTGCAACAATGGTTGGACAGTCATTCCCAAGATGGCCTTCAAGGAAGATTTAACCCTCAAGAAATCGAGACTATAAAAAAAAATGGTTTTGATCCCACATTAAGCAAACCTCAAGATATAAAATCTATTAGAAGAAAAATTAACAGTTTAACAGCACAAGCTACTCATGCATCTAGAAAAAATAACTCTGTTAAATACCAAATAGTAAAACAAGAACAACTAACTCTAAGTAAATATTTAGCAGTAGTTCGTGAAAAGAATTTGCAACAGTTAGATCCAATACGAGAAGAAGGATCACAATCAGGGTACGGAATATCTATAAAAAAAAATGTAAAACATACTATGAGAGATCCTTATTCATTAGCTAATAATTCGTATTTTGGTGATTTATATATAGATCCAAATAAACTGATACAAATGAAACTAGAAGCTTATGATCACAATGGACGAAAAGTGCTTAGCAGGAAATTTGATAATACATTTTATGATTTATTAACGAAGAGGTACAATCCTAAAAAGACATATAGCGATAAGGCTCAAAAATTATTTACTAAGCTTGTGGAATTATCTGGTGTACCTATGAACAGTAGAAGCATGAAAACCAAGATTGGCCGTGACAATAAATCGTCGAATACTGAAAAAATACAATATAAGCACTATAGTAATCCAGATCAGTTATGTAATCGACTAGAGGTAATTTTAGGAGCGAAGGAAGCAGGAAATAGTAATCAACAATTAAATAATGAGGCCATAAATATAATTGATATATTGTATAATGATAACATAATTACTAAAGAACAGTATGAAAAGATTCATAATAGTTTTATATAACATTATAATATAATGGTATTTGAGACAACATTATTCTTTGATAGTAAAAAGGCAATAGGAAAAGACGAAAATTTTACGACATATTTTAATCCTCCTCTGTTACTTGACATAAAAAAGATTTATAAAGTAGCTCTCATTGCTGCTGAAATTTGGTATTCTTGGTACAATATTACATCAAAGAACAATAAATTTAAATATTTTAACGGAAAAGTTTGGAAAAATACCATCATTCCTCCAGGAGCATATAATGTAGTCGATATTCAGAAAGCGATACAAAATATCATGAAAGAAAATAACGATTACATCCCTGCCAATACATCTGGAGACGAAAACTTGTTTCATGTTAACATTTCACCAAATTATAATACATTTAAGTCTGAGATCGAATTAAAAAATAATTACAAATTGGATTTCACAATAGATAATACTTTTAGAGATATCCTAGGTTTTAATTCAAGGATAATATCTGGAAATGGAAAACATCATAGCGATCAGATTGTTAACATAACAAGTATTAACACTATTGAAATACATTGTAGTCTTGTAGATGGTTCCTACATCAATGGAAAGAGTGGAGATTTGATACATTGTACATCACCAAATGTCCCACCAGGTAGTCTATTACAAGTACGACCATTTCAGAAAATGTACAATTCGATGAAAGTAATGAGTGCAATAAATAGTGTTACATTTAAAGTAACAGATCAAGATGGTAATTTAGTTGACTTAAATAACGAACGAGTTACCTATTACCTCCACATCAAGGAGTTATAAATTAATATAACATATATATATATATATGATGCGAGGAAAAAAATCTGATAAAAAAAACACTGGCAATCCACTGCATTACTTTATTGACCGCTTAAGAAGTATGATTCAGACTGTTATTCAATTTCTCAAGAATAAATTAATACGAAAGAGTAATAAGGATATAGTTCTACTTAAGCGTCACAATGGAGATACCTTTCTAATGGAAGTTCTAAAAAAAAAGAGGACGCCATCAGGATATATATATATGAGTGATGATAAAGCCTTTTATGTTGATTTCTTAAAGAAAAAAGAGTATAGAAATTTTACATCGAGATACGTACATATTGTAGTAGATTGAATATTAGGACCTGATATAAACAATTAATACTTCTTGTGGGTAAAATAAAATAATATATATATATATTGATGTTATTACAAAGAGAACAATATTTCAAGAAAAAAATTATTGGTGGTAATTTATTGGGTAATCTATTTGATCGCGCTAAGAAAGTTATTTCGATAGGTAGCAAAATTGTTAAGAATAAGATAACACCTATTAAAAAGGCTTTAAAACCACTAGGTAATAAGGCAATCCAAGCTGGTAAACAGACAATCACGTCGCAAGCGAAGAAGCTAGGCGATAAGGCAATCCAAGCTAGTAAACAAACAATAACTTCGCAAGCGAAGAAATTAGGTGATCAGGTAGTAAAAAATATTATAAATGAAGATAAAGCGGTCATCAAGCAAATTGAAAAGGCTGATAAGAAAACTACTAAAAATTTAATGCAGACTTTCCGAAATCGAATCAAAGATAACGTCACTAATTTATCGACCAATCCACAAGTTAGAAAAGTTTTGAATGATAAATCTCGAGCTATACTATCAAATATTTTATCTGGTTCGGGTGTTAAGACTGGTAAGGGATTTGAACGTATAATTTAAATTATATAACCATAATATATATTAATGTCAGAATTAGTGAGTCAATATCTAAGAATAGATGAGCCTAATCATGCAGACAATTCAATTGTAGAATTTGAATATATAGAGTATCTGCCACGAGATACTGATATGGATAAAGGAAGTTATTTGATTGAAACTAGAGATGAAGATGTCTATCTATTGCCTCATAAAGCAGTAATAGAAATACGAGGAAACTTAACGAAAGATAGTGGATCATTGTATAATGCAGATGATGCTGTAACATTAGTGAATAACGGCTTATCACTTTTTAGAAGTGCTCAATATCAAATTAATAATCATACGGTTGAAGAAATCAACGATTGGCTCCCATATGCATCTACAATTTTAAACTTAGTCATGTATAGTGATGATTACAGTAGAAGTATTGCAACTAATATGTTGTGGTACCGTGATACAGCTACAGGTAAACCAAATATGACAGAATTTGATATGACAGAGTCATTCCCAGTGAGCATAGCTAGTGATGTTGTTACTGTAAAAGCTAAACAAATTCGAGATATGAAATTAGTCACAAATCCTCAATATAACAGAGGATTTCATGCAAGACAACTATTAACAACAGGTGATAAACAAATATCACTTTTAATACCTCTAAGTTCTATATTTGGATTCTGTAAAGATGTCGATACAGTATTTAGAGGTGTTAAACATACTTTACAACTCGATAGGGCTGCCACAGCTAACTACATTTTAAAAGATAGTAATATTGATGACGGAAAATTTAAAATATCACATGTTTCAATGTGGATGCCTAAAGTAACTCCATCATTAGAAGTAGCTAGCCAGTTAGAGGCCAAACTTGTTAGTGGACACATTAGTAATCTTTACTTTGAGCAAGTTAAAGTTTATATGACACAATATGCAGCTAATCAAACATCTCCTACCTGGAGAATTACTACACAGCCTGGAACAGAATTACCACGTCATATTTTCATTGTATTTCAATCTACTGAACGAGAAAATAATCAAACGATGAATAACATGATATTTGATAATGCAGATGTAAGACGTATTTCAGCTAGAATAAACTCGATTCAATACACTGAAAGAGAGATAGAATGTAACTTTCATCCGTCGAATAGAAATTATAGTCGACCTTATATGATGTTTATGGAGGCAGTCCATAAATATCAAGATACAGATACTGGTTCACAGTTATCTGCTGAAGATTGGGCAAATTTGTATCCTATATTCCATTTCGATGTATCTAAGCATAATGAACGATTAAAAAATAGTCCAGCAGATATTGAAGTAAAATGGACATTAGGGAAAAATTTTAAAAGTATCAATAATAACAGTAATGATGTACCATATTATGTTTATGCAGTTGTCTTGACTGATAGATATTTGCAACTACATGGATTAGGAGGAAGAATGAATGTTATTGTATAAACCTATATTATAATGAATTCCTATATAAACACTGGATTCACTTTAACAAATTCTCAGAAAAATGCTATTTCTAAAGCCTATCAACATAATAAAGCAATAACTATAAGACTATTATCACATCAGTTACAAGGTAACGATAATTTAGGATTGACTTTAACGCAACATAATAAAGTTATTAAAGCTAGAAAAAATAATAAGAGTGTTATACTAAAATTAAGCCGAAATCAAGTATCAAAACAAGCAGGTTTCTTAGGTGCTTTAATGGGTCTAATTCGTGCAGCTGTTCCTGCTATAGCTAAAGCAGCTCCTAAAGTAATAAAAAGTGTGGTACCAAAGTTAGCAATGGCCGCAGCTACAGGTGCTATTTCTGGAGCTACTCATAAAGCAACTGGTGGAAGAGGTTTTTTATCTAGTAGTAATATATATAAGATGCCTTATTCAGAATATGGAGTAAATATTTCACCATCACAGAAGCAGAAATTAAAATCGGCAATAAATGCTAAGAAAGGATGCACAATTCGTTTATCTCGCTCTGATTTAACTGGACCTGATAAATTATATCTAACACGTCGACAAATTAATAAAATTAATAAAGCTAAATTGAAGAACACTGGTTGTGATATCAAATTGTCTAAAACTCAAGTAGCCAAAAATGGTGGATTTATTGGTGCTTTATTAGCTGGTATTTTACCTGCTGTTATTAGTGGAATAGCTGGGAGAGGTGTAACATTACCTGGAACAATCCCCAAAAAAGGTAAAGGGTTAAAAAAAAAAAAATCTATAAAAAAAGGCAAATCAATATATATTCCAAAAGGGATGCATGTTCCGGGACATTTACAGACTCCTCCATACGTAGGAAGATGGATACAACGATAAAACCATTAAGTAATATCGAAATTGATCACATCATGAAGAAATATAAGATAAAAAACTTTCGGGGTGTTTCTTCAAAAGACATGCTACCCAAGGCTATGTTGAAAAGTGAGTGTGGAGTAGTTAACATGCAGGATTATTTTGCGGGACCAGGAACACATTGGGTTTGTTATTATTGTGACCTACACAGCAATGATGTTGAGTATTTTGATTCATTTGGATTATATCCTCCAAGTGAAATACTATCATATTTAAAAACAGCTAAGAAAGGGATAGTGTATAATCGATCACAAATACAAAACATCAATTCAGTTATGTGTGGATATTATTGTTGTTACTATTTAATAAAACGTTATTACAATAATAAACCTCTTGATATTTTACTAGACTATGAACAAAAACCGACAACTTTTAATGAGCGGTTGATAAAACAGTTTGCTAATTTTATTAAATAATATAGTATACGCGATGCTGTCATATTGCATTCGAGAAAGAAAATATACTGATTCTATTCCTGATAGTATATTACATGTGGAAACCGAAAATAATAGAATAATTGTAAAGAGTAAGTGTATTTCGTGTGGTGCTATCAAGGCCAGATTTGATAAAAGTATTACAGGCTTTGGTAATAAAGATGTCGATTGGTCTACTCAATTAGCTAATGAACTGCATAAACCAATCAGAAGGAACTTTCCTAAGCGTCGTGTAAGAGTGAATGGAATTGATGACATTTGGTCAGCTGATCTTGTTGATATGCAGGAATTTGCAAAATACAATAGTGGTTACAAATATTTACTTAACGTAATTGACATTTTTAGTAAATATGCTTGGAGTGTACTTGTAAAAGATAAAACAGGTAATAGTATAGCTGAAGCATTTGATAAGATCATTAAATCTAGTCATAGAAAGCCAATTAAGTTATGGGTTGATCAAGGATCCGAGTTTTATAATAGAGTTGTTGACAAGATGTTGAACGATTGTAATATTGAGCGCTACAGTACGTATAATGAAGGAAAAGCAGTTGTTATTGAGAGATTTAACAGAACGTTGAAGGAACGAATGTGGAAACATTTTAGCGCCAAAAATACTAACAAATACATTGATATTTTACAGAAACTCATTGAACAGTATAATAATTCGGAACACAGTAGTATCAAAATGACTCCAGTGGAAGGTAGTAAGATAGTAAATGAGATTCAAACATGGCACAATTTGTATGGAAACATTGAATCTTTAAGTAAAAAAACGAAATTTAAAGTTGGTGACAGAGTGCGAATTTCAAAGTATAAAAGAAAAGTGTTTGACAAGGGTTACACGCCCAATTGGACAGAGGAAATTTTTGTTATAGAATCAATCCAGCAAACCGATCCTATTACATATAAGTTGAAAGATCTCAATGATGAACCTATTGAAGGATCATTTTATGAGCCTGAATTGCAGAAAACTAAACAAGATAAATATCGCATTGAAAGGGTAATCAGGAAAGATAAAAAGAAGAGATTAGCATTAGTTAAATGGAAGGGCTATTCTAATAATTTTAATTCATGGATTCCTATCGAAGATTTGAATAATGTTTAATTTGATTTAACAATCGAACACATTCCATTGAAGACTTGCATATTTACTTAGCTCATGCTGTAGATATCAGCAAACAATTTTGATCATTTTTAACTTTCATAAACTAGATCAAATTTTAATAATTTGTTTTAAAGTTCACACTCTGCAGTTACTTTTAATATGGATGATGAAACAGCACTTCAAGTACTTTTTAAAAAAGAGAATGATGACGAACAAATGGAGATGGATTCTGTTCAATCAATAGACTATGACAGAATTAAAGAAAGCTTTTTTGTTTTTCAAAATATGAACTATTTAGGCACTGACGACACACACCATATGGTAAAAATCGTAAATGAAGCAATACATGGATACGCGAAGTATTGGATAGATCTGTATGTAAGATGTCTTAAACACAACAATAATGTGTATGTTTCCTTGATGAATAATGATAGTGAAGTTATGAGAAAGCTAGAAACTGCTTTCCCGGAGATAAACACAGATGATATCCCTAAAATACCCAGAATATCATTTCTTAATGTGCCTATTGAAAAGACTAAACGAAAAAGAACTAGCAGTGGAAGTCAGGAATCAGAAATTATTAAGGAGTTACATGAGAAGTGGCAACCAGCAACTCATGGTTTAATCAGGACTCTGTCTGATCTAAGTGTGCAACCGAAAACATTAGATGATTGCAAAACGAAAATAGATGAATGTGAACAAAGGATGCAAACAAATGATAGGTTCATTTTATACATCGCCTTCCGTTACGGCCGTTATTTGTATGAGGCCAAAGCTGTATTCGCTCTCGAAAAGAGGTACGGTTCAGGAAACTTCAACGAGTGGATAAATTCCAATTGCCATGTGAAGAAGAGTCGTGCACACGAGTACATCAACTTTTATGACAGCTTCGAGAAATATCCCAAGGTTACACAGTGCAATTTGCCTTTTCAATGGTTTACTAAGAACGTAAAAACAGTACTCAGATATTTCAGAAATCATCCTAAAGAGGCCAAGAAATTCAAATAATAGTTTTAACTTAATTATCCTTAAACTTGTCCGCATGTCTGGACAAGTTCATTTCTCTGTACGTGTCTCTGTACGAGGCAAAGAGATTTAAATGATAGTTTTTAACTTAATTATCCTTAAACTTGTCCGCACGTCTGGACAAGTTCATTTCTCTGTACGTTATTAGGATTCGAACTAAGACTCTCAATTTCTTTGACCATCCCACAAACCACCACTCTGTAGCCCATCGGTTGATTGTGAATAGAAATGAAGGAGTTATAAACAGTTGCTTGATGTTGCATATCATCTGTTATTCGCTGTTAGAACGTTGAAGCAGGCATGCACAATCTGATCTGAATTTATAGTCTACCTACAGTATGTTTACTCGCTTGCAATGCTTCGCGTAGTGTATTGTTATATATACGCTGTGCATAATATAAAGTATTACTAATACTTGACCATGTTAAATTATACAATGTTCCACATAGTTTATGACAGTTGCATGTTCCACATAGTTTTGAATGTTCCACATATTTTAGAATGTTCCACATAGTTTTAAATGTTCCACATAGTTTTGAATATCCCACATAGTTTTGAATCCTGATTAGGGAATATGACACAATATTTTGCCTATTAACACTTTTATCAATTCTCTATCTTCACACATAGCTTTAATCTATCCGATCCTATGTTCCACATACTTTACGGTGGTGATATGTTCCACATAGTTTTGAATCTTTCTATCCAAATCTATGCTACATGTTCCACATAGTTTTAAATTCTAGATTAGGGATTATCGTACAATATTCACCCAAAATTTGCCTATTTTAATTTTCATCAAATCCTATCTCCCCACTTAGATTAGGGATTATCGCACAATATTCACCCAAAATTTACCTACCTTAATTCCGAGCAAATCCCTATCAAGTCTTCCATTTCTAAATATTCCACATAATTTATAATGTATGTTCCACATAGATTATAAACTTTGAAATTACACATAAACATTCCACATCCATCCGAATCTCGTATCTTGCGTGTTACACACAGTTGATGATTCTAAATGTTCCACATAGTTTATAACTCTAAATGTTCCACATAGTTTCATAATTATTTATGTTCCACATAGTTTTTACTCCTAGCTCTAATATTAGGGAATATCGCACAATATTCACATAAAATTTGCCTACTTGGTTTGTACAAACGACCTATCTAACAGATTAGGCAATATCGTACTAGCTTAACCAAAAAATTTACCTGCTTATTTTTGATCAAAACCCTATCAAGTGTTCCATTTCTAAATGTTCCACATAATTTATAATGTATGTTCCACATAGATTATAAACTTTGAAATTACACATAAACATTCCACATCCATCCGAATCTCCTATCTTGCGTGTTCCACACAGTTTATGATTCTGAATGTTCCACATAGTTTATAACTCTAAATGTTCCACATAGTTTCATAATTATTTATGTTCCACTTTGCCTTCTTAATTTTGATCAATTCCCTATTCACCGTCAATTTTAGCAATGTTCCACATAGTTTATAATGTATGTTCCACATAGTTTATAATGTTTGTTCCACATAGTTTATAATGTATGTTCCACATAGTTTATAATCTATGTTCCACATAGATTATAAACTTCACAATATCTGTTCACACAATCTCAAATATTACCCCTCATATAAACAGTCGAAAACGGCTTAGATAAACCGGATAATCAGATTAGATTAAAGTTCATAATCTATGTGGAACATGGATATACGGGAAAATCGAGTCTTCTAAGATAAACCGGATAATCAGTCTTATATTATTGAGTATTCGATTGCAAATGTTCCACATAATTTATAATGTATGTTCCACATAGACTATAAACTTCACAGATTATTTAGATTTATTAGAGATAGAGGAGACCTGGACCAATCGCGAATCGCGTATATAATAACTAACTAAGAGAATTAAAAAATAAATAGTCGGCTCAGGAGTTTTTTTTACATTTCTTCTCGCGCGCGTAAGCATATATGCCAAAGAAATATATAAAAAATTTTTAAGCCGACGGCTCTTTTTTTTCTTTAAATGATTTTTTTTATATTATTATTTTCGCGTGGTCCAGTCTTCTCTATCTAGAATGAGATACTCGATTTGATCACACAGTCTTGGGTGGGCTATGCACCTTGCTGACGAAG